GGAAGTGGACAACACAGGCTGCAAGATGACTCCAAGACCATATCTTTTAAATAAAAACTAAAATTCCTCTCATTTTTTAAAAAAATTGCAATATTTTATTAATTAATACAAAACATACATTTCTATTTAGTTTGATCAAATTGCTTATCGTACGACCAATGTACCTATGCCCTAATTTTGCAAATGAATAACCTCTTATTGTTCATAATTAAAAATGCCAATCCCAGAGCTATCTAAATGTCTTTGAAACTGTCTATACGAGTGACTCACGGCATCGAGAGAGATTATGCCTGTGGTAGATCTTTCCAGGAATGCCGCGTATTGACCATAACATTCGAAGAGATGTTATAAGGAAATTCCATAGCGATAAAAAGTCATTCTGAAATAAATATTTGCAATGTAAAGATACATTGTATAATATAAATTAATTCGTAATGTTGTAAGTGAAGTTTAAACAATCGAACGGTAGTTTCACGTTACAATATTTTACACCCAGAGAAAATCTGTATGCAACACTATCGTTTTGTTGACTGCCAGTATTAAATAAAAAATTTTAGAATTCACAAAGAAGTGATTGAAAATATCTACTTACCAAAGTTAACATACAAACGATATAAATAAATTGTTAATAACCACTCAAACACTTTACAGACAATTTATAAAAATAAATATAACAAGGTAAGTAAATTTACGGCAGTTACGCTACTGATAAACTGATCGTAGCGAAACTATTTAATCTATTGATAAACCGGCCACTTCGTTTCGATACTACAGCTCTTCGGGAGCTAATCGTAGGCATTCGTTACTCAAAAACGTGATTTATGTTGTTATCGTATACTGTTTCCCCGGTATTTAGTTCAAATCACAGTTTTATTAAAGCGGACTGTCTGTCTGTCTAGTTACACTGAATAATTTACATAAAATGTATTTAATTAAATTTTGCCGTATGGTCACGTTGTGATCATATACTAAGTATTTGTCACTCCGTAAGATTTCCAGATCGAAGTATAGTTTTGAACAAAATCTTGCAAATACCTAGGTTTTTTTAATGCTAGCTGAATTAAAACTAGATTGAAAATCTGAATTAAATTAAAAAAATTAAGTAAATTTCCCGTCCCATTTGATATTGTTTCACTAATGGAGTTCTCTAGTATATTATTTGGACTTTTTTTCATCTTCATTGTTATCATGATTCAATAATTTTAGGTGACCTCTAGGAGTTAATGCTCATTGAAACTGAACTTTTCTTACCATTCGGATACTGTATTAAGGTGTAATCTGAATTCTAAAAGATCAACCTCTTCAATTAAAGGTGCAACTTACTTCTTCCTACAAATTTTCTTGGTAATACTTTGTCTGACACTTTAAGCCCTGATATATGGAGTTGTTCTACTTTATGTTCCTTTAGAGTGTAAATAATTAAACTCTTGTGAAGTAAAGCTAGTTCCCCTGTCAGAATGTATATATGTCAGCATTCCATATAAACAAAATAGTTAATTCAAACAGCAAACATTCAATTATTGCCTGACTAGATGCATCTGAGCATTAAGAAAAGCCCATGGAGATCTAGAAAATTCGTCAATAATTGTAAGCATATAGGAATTTCTAGAACAACTTTTTATTGGATCTTTAAAATCAATGTTCAATCTTTCAAACTGAGCTGTTAATTTGATTAAATGTTTATCATCTTGTTTCTTAAAAATCTGGGTTTCATTTCTGCACACATTGGACAAGAGGTAATTACTTGTTTAATTTCATTTACAGAATAAGAATAAGATATTATTTAAATAAGCACTTAATTTGTAATTATCTTATATATGCCCTTAAATTATTGTATTTAAATTCAAAAAAAATATTAATACTGTTCTGAAGCTATTTTCTTGTAGCATCTTAATGCAATTTACTATTTTGGAAATAAGCCACAGTTTTACTTTAAAATTAAGTTGTTACTAACCTGTTTCTTCAAATTGGGTTATTTTATTTCCATGTTCTATTTCAGTATTTATGAGATATTTCTTTAAGTCTAAATAATTATATGTGTTATGTATACTTTGCGTATTGGATTCCTCCCGAATTTCACATTTAAAGCCATCCAAAAGAGCATCATCCAATCCATTATACTCTATTTCTAGTTTACACGTTTCCTCGCTAAATTCTTGTTTTATTGCTTCCATTTGATTACACCATAGATAAATAATAAAATATAATCACAAATATAATATTAGGACAGAAGTCTATATAATACCCAGAGATATGTAAGAGAGATAATACCAAAGATCTTACATATCTCTGATAATACCAAAGAATACAACAGACGCTTAAGCTGGATTTATAGTTTGACATGAGTTTGACGGACTGTAGACGCAGACGCACTGGAAAAAGATCAACATAGACTTTTGTGTACTCCTATTTATAAATGAACGTAAACGCAAGACGGGACGTAAGCGAAACGCACTGTAACGGAAGAGTTGGTCAACTTTCAACTTTTACAGTGCGTTTCTTACGTCTGACCAATCAAAAGAAAGAATGGGTTATGTTCATTGCACCAATATTGAAATATGCCAAAAATTGATCTGGATCTTCTGTCTTCATCTTTTAAAAAATAATTATAAGCATTCTCTATTTTTCTAATACGGTTTATTGGTCTTGTTTTATAACGTCTTGGTCGCCTTATTATTGTCCTTCTAGTTTTTTGCGATGCTACTGCACACAGCACAGCAGCAATCCTACAGCGCCAAGGAGCATACCTTCGTATATTTTACAATCCATTCTAACACGCAAAAAGGATAAAAAAAATATAATAAACAATAGTATAAACACACACCCTTTGTTTATTATGAATTCTGATTCCTATAATTGTATAATTTATAGGTTATATTGAATGTTGTGGGTCACCAATTCTTGTCTTTACTCATGCGCAAAAATTCCACTACGTCCATTTATAAATTGAAAAAATATTTACAGTCCGTTTCTTACGTCTCCAGTGCGTCTACGTCTACAGTACGTCAAACTATAAATCCAGCTTAAGGCTAATGTATTGTGGGCACAGCACAGCCCGCACAGCATATGCTGTGGTTTAGGCATCGAGCAATAAGACAAAAGGGAATCTAATCGTTATAAAAAGGAGACCAAAAAAGTGGCCTCTGATGGCGGACACATCCGGAAATGCAAAGGCGCTAAATTTAAATTTTCCAACATTTGTTAACAATAGCTATAAAATATTTTTCAGACTAGAAAGTTTTAATTAAATATTAACGATAATAGTCTAAAAAGTGACATAATTGGTAAAAAACTTCAATATAAATAAAATTTCATGTGACAGTTGGGACAAACAATAACATAACCAAACTAAATTTGACTTCTTAAACAAGGAAAGAGACTGTCTATCCTTGTCTAAAGTGGCCTCTCAAGATGGCACTTCCTGTCTATCAATATGTTTACCCCTTCTACCTTTACATTCCCTCTTTTGTCTTATTGCTCGATGGGCTTAGGTCACACGCATCGAGCAATAAGACAAAAGAGGGAATCTAATCGTTATAAAAAGGAGACCAAAAAAGTGGCCTCTGATGGCGGACACATCCGGAAATGGAAAGGCGCTAAATTTAAATTTTCCAACATTTGTTAACAATAGCTATAAAATATTTTTCAGACTAGAAAGTTTTAATTAAATATTAACGATAATAGTCTAAAAAGTGACATAATTGGTAAAAAACTTCAATATAAACAAAATTTCATGTGACAGTTGGGACAAACAATAACATAACCAAACTAAATTTGACTTCTTAAACAAGGAAAGAGACTGTCTATCCTTGTCTAAAGTGGCCTCTCAAGATGGCACTTCCTGTCTATTAATATGTTTACCCCTTCTACCTTTACATTCCCTCTTTTGTCTTATTGCTCGATGGTCACACGTCACACTCATGATACTATGACCACAGAATAATAAACAAACAGAATACCCACTCTCCACGGAAAATTAAGTACGCGCATCTCCTCCGCGCAGACGTTCCGCCATGTTTTAGGAGGATTTTAAAGAAATTAGTGTTGTTTATGTGGTGTGCGTGGAAAAATTAACCAGGTTTATTTGACTTACGGCAATCATAGACATACTATACAATTATATTAACATTGTTAAATATAATTACATAAATATAATATAATTAAACATAAATATAAACAATTACATAACCACACAAATCATAGGTCTGTGTCCTCCTAAAACATGGCGCGCGTGCTGAAAAACTTCAAAGGCGGCATCTGAGAGTGGCCCTTCTGATTGTTTATTATTCTGTGCTATGACTATAAGATAAGATATTGCGCATGTTTTTGTGACGTCATTGGAGACTTGCACGTTCGAAATGTCAGTTTTTGTATATATCAATAAAAAATCTTTAATAAATAGTTTGGAGATATTCTTATGTGTACGATTATTGTAATTATTAAACCTCTTAACTTATTTTCTTCTAGTAATTTCATCACAGAATTCATACAAATCTCATTTAACTTTAACAAGAATTCAAATTCTAGTCTCCAATGACGGCATGCGCGAACCCGACCGATTTTGAGCTACGGGAAGATCCTATCTTGTTATTCATAGTATCAAAGAATATAGACGCTAAGCGTCTATATTCTTTGATAGTATCATGGGTCACACTAGTGTACTGTGCTTAGGTTAGGTTATTAAATCTTTGATGACATGAAAGAAGTTTTACGTTTTAGCGGCTTTGCGCACAAATTGGCGCATTTCTTGTACAAGAAAATGCAGCGGACACAAATTCTTGTATCGTTTCTGATATAAGAAACTATACGCCTGTATGACACTATCCATTTTTTTGTTATATCAGAAACGATATAAGAAATGATACAAGAAAATGCATAGTGTCATACAGCCTTTACATTCCCTCTTTTATCTTTTTGCTCGATGGTTTGATATCACATCCATGGTTATGAAAACGTAGAATCTGATCAGCTGTGACTATGACAGATGTCAAGAAAATGTCAAGTCAAATAATGTAAATGTAAATATCAAATACATCAATTACTATGTTTTTGTTGTACCTGAATTTTGACGAGTTCCTTCTTTAAAAATGAGCAAAAACTTACAGACAGCTAATAAGCTGACAGAATTTGGGCCTCTACAATCGGAAGATCCAAAACCAAATACCGTTGGACAATTTATAGCCAATTTTCTTTGGAAAAAAAGTGTTTCATCAGATGATGCTAATGCTGAAAAAAATGATAATGTTAGTGATTCCCTTCCTACTTGGGCCGTTGATAATGTATCTGATAACGCATATTCGGAGTCTTCGAATGTATATGAAGTTGACATAAATGAGGGAAGAAGTTTACCAAATGTTTTGAAGAGAATAAGTAATCTGTTAGCCTTAAAAACCAGTGTAAGTCTATTCTTTAGTTATACTAGCTTAAATTATCATAATTTATAATTCTCTTTGTGTTTGCTACTATGCTCAACATTATATTTTTTCATATGTCTTATGTTAATATTAATGTTGACTGCTCTCATTTTTAAATTGACTTCATTTAATTCTATAGCTTGTACTGGCTTTGTACTGTTTTTTTTTTCAATATGTCTTTATTTATTTAAATACTTTTCAGAGCCTCCAAGATTATGCAGATACAGATTTAAAACTATACTGGATGCCTGATTCTGTTAGTAAGGAGTGTTATGAATGTTCTGAAAAATTTACAACATTTAGGAGAAGGCATCACTGTAGAGTTTGTGGACAAATATTTTGTTCTCATTGTTGTAATCAACAAATCCCTGGGAAAATATTTGGATGTACAGGTATACCATTTTTCAAAGTAAAAACGTTTAACATAAAAACACTGTATTATAAGTCAAATGTAATTGTGATTACATTTAGCATTTTAGAATTATATTGAATAAATACACAAAAACATTTATTATTAATAATTAAAATTTTATGCAACAATTGTTTAAGTTTATTTATTCAAAAAATAATCATATGAATTAACTAGATTACACAATCATACGTCATTGATACAGGAATAGTACAGTGTTGTCAATATTTTATAACCTTATACTAAGTCTGTTTTGATCAATTTGATTCGCAATAAATATATAACTTTAATAAACTGTATTTATAAATACATTAATTAATATAGCTTAGTTTTTAAGCTTTAAAAAAAATAATTTTTGTGTTTGCTAAAATGTCTAAACAACTGAATAGTCATTGTCGAGAACTGGTTGCTTGTTTAATAGATTATTTTGAGCGAAATACTGGCGGGGCCCTTTTTACAATTGAATGCTGCGAGAGAGGTAATGTAAAGAATTTAAAATATACAATTTTGTATTACAGCAGTGTCCAAACAGTCAATCGAGATCGACCGCTTGATCACAACAGCTTCTGAAGTTGATGGCAAAATAATTTTAAAATATTCAGGTCCTAATTGAAATATTCCAGGCTTCTGAGGCAATGTGCCACGCGATGTTTGGCGAATGTTACTGATCATTCTCGAGTGTCTGTTTCTTGTATAACAAGCTGTGGTGGTGGAAATGAGTACAGAAGAATATCTCACATTAGGCTTACAGACTACATGTTTAATTAGATTCCTTAATTATAGTTTGTTTTTATAAGCATTTACAATACAAGTATTTCCAGAAATCTAATTATTTTAGTATGTAGGCTCCAGTCTAGTTGTGATAGTTGGTAGTCGATTGCTTATCTTTAAAATATTTTGTGATAGATAGCAGACACCACAAGTCTAAGCACCCCTGTTGTATTACAATGTTTTATTATGTGAGTTTTAGTGAGTTGTAGCAGCCTTAAAACTAAGTTTAACAACTGTTAGTATTATTTCTCAAGCTGTTAAAAATAATAATTAAAAACATTTTTAAAGTCACTTTTATGTCAAAAACATTAACAACGGTATGTCAAAAAGACTAAAACTAATACAGAAGAGTTGAATGTTAGTGGTCCGTGATGTTATTTATGACTTATAAAAAACAAGTAATAATATTACATAATAAAAGTTACTAATTTATTTAAGACCTTAGTATTTGAGGTTTAAATGTTTTTAAAATTATACATTTTTATGTGATATTTTAATTCACATTATTTAAAAGTGAAAAAAGAAATTTTAAAAATGTGATTATTTTTTCATTTTAAAAATCCAATTGACTAGTGCATTCCTTAATAGTTGACATTTTTAAATTCCTGACTTTTCTATCTACCTCACTATTCTGATGTTTTGGCAAGACTGTGGAGTTCTGACGTCTCTTTTTTATGTGAAAAATTCTATATATACTTATGCAGTACATTTATAAATGTTTAGTACCATGAAAATTATGCTAAATTTTGGAAAGTATGTTCCAATAATATCAAAATGGTTAAGACTTGATCTCTACTGTATTCGCTCAGAACTAACTTTAAACTTAAAATTTATTTGAGTCATTTTGTTATCAAAGATTTTTACACGAGATACCAATGGAATAAAAAGGGTTCAGATCCCATAGCATAAATGATGCTTTTTAACTTTAAATGATCTTGTTTCTGATTTTTATTACATTTCTGACAAATAAAATAATTCTTCTGTATATAATTTATATGTCACAAAGCTATCAGAGAGGACTGTGTTTTAGATTGTGGTAAATAAAAAACATAGAAATGTCCTTGTCTTAGAAATTTAATCTCCATTGAACAGCATTCAATTATAATGTGGCACTGGATTACTCACTCTCTCTTCAATGGCGCTACAGCCCAAATCAAGCCTTGGCCTCCTCGAAACTGTGTTTCCAACCTTACCGGTCCATCTTCTTCAGGTTCTCACATCTAGCAAATTTTGCACATAAGCTGTCACTTCATCCTCCTACCTTTTCTGTTGCCTTCCTTTTGGTCTTGAGGTCACTACCTGACCAGGGCTTTTCTTTCAAAGACTTCCAGCTTTGTGACAGTTTTGTGTCTTCTGTCATCACCCATGTCTCGCATCTGGAACATACTATTGATCTGATTATATTTTTTTAGACCCTGATTCGATCTCTAGTGTGTTTTTGTAGCGGAACATATGGGCAAGTGAAAAGTAAGCTTTTGTTCCCTTTACTAATCTTTGAATTTCTGGTTCTTCTGTTCCATCTGTGTTTAATGCAACTCCCAGATATGTGAAACTTTTAACAGTTTCAATATCGTCTTCTAATTTAACTGTGAGTCTTTTGAATATTTATTTTTAGTCCAGTCTCTTCTGCCCCTGTTTTTAATTGTGAGTATATTTTATATATGCCACCTCTTCTGTTCTGCGAGACAAATGCTAATGTCATCGGAATATGCAGCAAGGTGTATTGATTTATTTGTTAGGAGATTGCGTTCTTCTTCTTGATGTGCCTATCCGTTACGACTGTTAGCGATCATCATGGCAATCCTTATCTTATCTGCAGCAGCGCGGAAAAGCTACACAGATGTTGTATTGAACCAGATTCTGAGGTTCTTTAACCAAATGTTCTTCTTCCTGGACCTCGCTTTCCAAATATTTTTCCTTGCAGGATGGCTTGGATATGGAGAGAAGGAGAGTATATGGAGATAGTAGGAGATTGTGTACCTCTTCCTATATTCAGCTGTCTTATCACATATTCGTTAGTCAAGTTGGATAGTGTCAGTGTCAGCCTGTCTCCTTGCTTTAATCCTTTGACTATTTAAAAGTTCTCAGTTCATTGTGCTTGGGCACTGAATTACAACTTACATCAAATCGTTGCTATTGGACAAATGAATGTTGTGTGTCCTCATTGCAAGTCATTTAAGTTTAAAAGTTGGTTTCTGAAAACGAGCCTAGATTCCTAGAAAATATTCTATTAATTTTTTTACTCACATAGCTAAGAACGTCTGTTCTACCAGTCTGTTGACTTAGAACATTACTAATTTGTAGTGTTAATAATTACAGGTGTTCAACTTTGAAAAGGCGTTTCTACAGACAATACTTATATCTCCCGAGTTGTCTTTAACAAAAATTTTTACCTAATTTTATAAAAATAAATAAAATGTGTTATTATTATGAAAAAAGAAAATATCAATTTAGAAATTATTTTTATCTTTTAGGTGAATTAAGGGTTTGCACTTACTGCTGTAAAGTTGTCCTTTCCTATTTACAATCATCAGACTTCAGTACTGTTCTTACAAATGATTTAAAAATACTTCAGGAAAGTTTAAAATCCAAATTTGGTACATTATCGCCAAATACAATTGATGACTCTTTGCAAACATCTGTTGTCAGTGTTGATGATAATTGTGCAAAACGAAAAATATCTGTTGGTTATCAAGAGGAAAAATTCTTTTCTGAAAAGTATGTATAAGTACAGTTATTTTTTTATGCACGTCACTTTAATTTTGCCTGTTAATTTTTTGTGTGTATGTCTTTATATCATCATAAATTACATACAATCTGGCAACTGTGTGTGTAATACAACCTCGGTCACCCACAGCGGGGGTTATTCGACGGGATAATCTTGTATCATTACCATATACCATATTTTACAAGCATTCTATTTATGTGACACAGATAGATCTATATTGTACTTATAACAATACGTTAAATGAGATTCTTTGTGCTGGGATCAAGAAGGAAGATCTACTTGTAGATCGTAAGATAGTATCTATTTATTTCCAGTTTCTTTACGCGCTTATCGCTTTTGTTTTGCCTACTATCTATTACTAAGTTTTGTATTTATAATTAAACTTTTAGTACGTCGTCGTCGTGGATGAATATAGTATATAAATAATATTTTGATTATTTTGTAGGTTTCATTTATTAATTGACAATGAAATCAATATGTATCTTAAAAAAATCTTTGTGGTTTATCGTTAGAGCAAATTAAAGAACTAGGTTGGCTTAATAAAACTATGATAAAATAGCTGGTAGTGTGGTAGCAAACAAATTAATAAACTGTTTTGTTTTGCATGCGTATTATTTTTAAGTGACGAGACGTGGTCAAACAAAGGCACCGATGATCTTGTTCCTATGTGGGATAAAATCCATCTAATAATAACACTAGGAATCTTAAGATTTTCTACTTTGAGAAACTAAATTCAAATTTTTGCATATTAATTTGCATTTCACATGATGAACGGCATGTGGAATGTAAATTATAGATTCTGTTGTCCATTAGCAAGAAATCTTTTTGCAAGTTGCAAGTTTTAGTAAGCACAGTGGTAAAAATTTGAATTTAGTTTCGCAAAGTAGGAAATCTTAGGATTCCTAGTGTTGTTATTAGATGGCGTTGTAACGTCTGTAAATAATTATTGTCCTATGACGGGAGAGATTTGGTTTCGATTCAGGGCAACTGCATATGTCGCTCTGTTGAGATCTAATGAGGTCGAATTACTTATAAGTGGCTTGCGGATGTCCTGAATCGAAATTAAAACCAACACCGTCTTTCTGTATTATTTCATTATTGATACAGGCTAGTCTGAAGATGAGAATCATTTACAGTGTTCCATCAAACATTTCGTACATTCTCATAAATGACATAATTCTCTACCCGTTTTAAAGCACATTAATATTTCAGCACGAATACAACATATCTAACAACCGAGGAAAAATGTAGGGCTCTTCAAAATTCGGCGTCTTTAAGAAACTTATATGAAGAAATGTGTAAACCTACAACAGGTCTACAGTTTGAAACTCATAGATATCGTCTTAAGACTTACAACGATTCCTTTTTGGGTTCCGAATTAGTAGATTGGTTAATTTTTCAACAAAAGGCGAAAAGTAGGTAAGTTGAACATGTTTATTGTCTTTTATTATATTAAAAATTATGTTAAAACGAGATATAGAAAATATTTGTAAGCTACGGAGAGTTGTCGCTATTACATCTTAGCTATAGTAGAAGCCACAGTTAGAATTCATTGTTGGTCTTACGGCGCGCAGCGATGCCGCTCATGTGAGCACAGTGGTAGATGTGTGGTAGTTTGGCGATAGACTGAGAAATCAGGACCGTACGCGATTCGTTTCAAAAACCTTTACTCATTAATTTAACTGAGTTAAATAAGAGAATAAACAAAAAAAAACAAATTAATTCTATAAAAAATGCCTGTATACATAAAATATCTAATACCTTGTAAATACTTATATACATATATACAAAAAAATGCAAATAGTTTACCCTATTTCTTCTTCACGTGCCATCTCCGCTACGAAGGTTAGCTATCATCATGGCAATTTTGACCCTGGAGGCTGCCGCTCGGAACAATTGTATCGAAGTGCAAGCAAACCACTCCCTGAGGTTTCTCAACCATGACATTCTTCTCCTACCTATGCTGCGCCTATCTTCAATCTTTCCTTGCATAATTAGTTGTAACAGTTGATATTTATTCCCACGTGTAATATGTCCCAGGTATTGTAGTTTCCTTATTTTAACACTCAATACGACCTCCTTTTGTTTGTTCATCCTGTCTAATACAACTTGGTTAGTTATCTTATCCTTCCAGGAGATTTTTAACATTCTTCAGTACGCCCACATCTCAAATGCCTCCAGCTTACCCATACATTGCTTATTTAGTGTCCACGCCTCCACCCCATATAACAGGACCGAGAAAATATAACATTTAAGCATTCGTATTTTCAGCTTTAGGCTTAGGTTTCGGCTACACAACATTTGTTTCATGTTGTTAAAGGCACTGTGGGCTTTCTCTATTCTTATTCTTATTTCTCTGGTGTATTCGTTTGACTCGTTAATATTTGTTCCGAGGTAATTGTAATTTTGTACTCGTTCAATGAGATTCTGTCCTACATGTAAGTTGATATTATTGATACGTTTCTTTGTAATTATCATGAATTTGGTCTTCTTTGTATTCAGTGACAGACCAAATTCTTCACTTGCTTCTACCACTTTGTTTAGCAATCTCTGTAGGTCGTCAATATTTTCTGCTATGAGCGCGGTATCATCAGCATATCGGATATTGTAAATGGGGTGACCGTTGATCTTTACTCCGGCTTTTTCGTTCATAAGACCTTTTTTGATAACTTCTTCCGCGTAGACATTGAACAAGGTTGGAGACAACACACAGCCCTGCCGAACAACTCTTTTGATCTGTATTCTATCTGATATCGAGCTGTTAATTCGTACTGTAGCTTCTTGTTTGTAGTATAGATTCCTTATCACTCGCATGCTCCTTGTATCAATATTTTTATTTTCCAGTATTTGCATCAGTGGCCTATGTTTTACTGTATCAAATGCTTTGTTATAGTCTAGGAAACACACAAGTATGTCCTGATTTACGTCTAAACATCGTTGTGTTAGAACATTAAAAGCAAACAGTGCCTCTCTAGTTCCTAGTCCGTCTCTAAAGCCAAATTGAGAGGGTCCGATGTCAACTTCCAATTTTTTATATATTCTCTGATGAATGATTTTTAAGAAGACCTTTAATATATGACACATGAGACTGATGGTGCGATGTTCCGAGCATTGTCTCGCATTAGACTTTTTGGGTATGGCTATTATTGTTGTTACTAGCCATTCATTAGGTATGATACCAGTATTTGTAAATGCTGTTAAATAGTTCCACGATCTTTATTAAGTTGTTGCCTTTGATGAGTTTAATTATGTCTATTGGTAGTTTATCTGGGCCTGTAGCCTTCCCCGACCTCATTTCTTTAATCGTGTATTCCACTTCATCTCTTGTTATTTCTGGTCCTGTGTCACTGTTTATGTATTCGTTATCTACATTGTCTCTTTGATCTTTATACAGTTGTTCTATGTACTGTTTCCAGACTCTTAATTTTTCTTCTGTGTACATAATAATGTTTCCACTCTCGTCTACTAATATGTTGTGTCTGTTACTTTGTTTCCTCGTCAACTCTTTGATCTTCCGATGTGCATTAAAGCTGTCGTGTTTATTTTGTAGTTGTTCGATTTCTTCGCATTTTTCCCCGTACCAGTTTTCTTTAGCTGTGCGTATTTTTAGACGAATTTCTTTTTGTATCTCTTTATACTTCTGGTTCTTTTTGTTTTTCTGTTTTCTTCTTTCATCCATTAAGTTCAGTATCTCATCTGTCATCCATTCTTTTTTATATTGTTTACTTTTATGGAGGTGACTTATGCTTGGTTTCATTAACGCTGTTTTAATGTCTGTCCAATTCTCATTGATGTTAACTTTTGTGTTGTCTTTTATGGGTTGTATCTTTGTTACTGCTTCATCAATTTCTTGTATCATCTGTTCTCTTACTTCTGGTTTTCGTAATTTGTTGATATCAACCACTTTTTTGGGGGTTGTGCTATTAATTTTCTTTAGTTTTATTTTCATTCTTGCAACTAGTGGATTATGATTAGATGATATATCTGCACCAGGGTATGTCTTAATTGACATTATGCTGTTTCTGTATCTTTCATTGATTAGTAGATAGTCTATTTGGTTTCTCACTATGTGATGTTCTGTGTCTTGTGGAGATCTCCATGTGTATAAACGTCTGTTGGGTAGTTCGAAAAAGGTATTTGTAATTACCATTCTGTTTTCCTGGCAAAATTGTACCAGTCTTTCACCAGACTCGTTCCTATTCCCTAATCCAAAATTTCCTACCAAATCATCTGTCCTTCCTTTCCCAACTTTAGCATTCAAATCTCCCATTATTATTGTGATGTCCCTTTTTTTGGTCAGTTTCAATGCCGAGTCAATTTGTTCATAAAATGTTTCTATTTCATGTTCTTCTTTGTCCGCTGTTGGTGCGTATACTTGTATTATATTCATTTTTGTGATGTTTGTATTTATTTGTAACATCATAACACGATCGGACAAAGGTAGGAAGTTCAGGACATGACGAGATAGAGACATTTTTAACATTATACCCACTCCATTACGATGTTGGGGATCTTGGTTACCTGAGTAGTAGATTATGTGATCTTTAATATGACAGCATCCATTTCCCGACCATCGGGTTTCGCTTATACCCAAAATGCTAATATTCATTCTTTGCATTTCTTGAATAACGTTGTGTGTTTTTCCTGGTTCATACATGCTGGTTAGCGTTCCATGTTCCAATTTTCATTATTTCGTTGGTAATATTTATATTTGACAAGGTTTTCGCTGGTTGACGACCCGAAAAGCCTTGTCACTTTTCTTGCCGGATCTTGGCCTCCGATCTCCATGATCAGTAAGATTTTGTTGATTATTTATCATGCCATGTTAACTATACTAGAGATATCCATTGGATCTTTACTGTAGTGGTTTCTCGTTGCCTGCTACATCCCAATGCCGTTGACTAATATATTAGCTCTTCCGCCTTTGAGGTCGATTTCTCAGCCCTCAGGACAATGAGTTGCCCTACCACCTGTCAGCTCATCCACCCTCAGCTGTTGGCCAACAACTGGGAGATTACTTATACCGGTAATATTTCGGTAAATTTTCACCATATCTGGTTACCCTCACTTAGTTTAGCCTGCAGACCAATGCAGTTGCCCGGGGTGTGACACGTGGAGCCATAAGTGAGAGTTAGGTGCCTTATGAGGATCAGATATCAAGAACCATCTCCCGTCTATGACGCTCGATGTGGTCGTTTCGATATAAGGTACTACCTCTATAACGCAACCCTACACCCCATAAAGATTTACCCTAGTTTACCCTATACGTCACGATAAATAAACATATATATATATATATATATATATATATATATATATATATATATATATATAATATATATATATATATAATACATAAGATCATAACTGAAATTGATTGTACGTACAGTACTAAAAAACTAAATGAGCATTAAATCTGAAATATTTCTCGTTAATTAATACTAATCGCAAACCATATCTGAATGGTTCTCATACTCTGAATCATCTCATATATTAATTATCACCGGTTCAATATCTTCCTGCAGATTGTCAACCGCAAACATTTTTTCTTCTACTTTCTTGATGTGGTTCACACAATTATATCATTGCTCTTTAGATACGCGTCGGTAAGCTTCTTTTATCAACCGTTCTACCGTTTTTTATTTAAAATCGACTTGTTTAAAGCCACGTACATTTTCACTTGACTCCACACTATCTCAATCGGGTTCAGCTCGCAATGGTAAGGCGGCAGTCTCAAAATCTTAACGCCATATTCTCCATATACTCGTCTCTAAATATGGCCGCAATATCCAGTAATTCACTTTTTACTGACGTAGTAGAATTAGTTGCAGAATTGAATTTTGGCGGTAAATTTGAAAAATTATTAGATTGTTTTATTGTGTACTACTCTCGTCTAAGTTTTTCAAATCTGTTAAAGATAATCTATGACTCAGTAAATGACTCTAATGATCCATATTTCTAATTAGTTCTCGGTAAGTCCTATTCATTACGTCAGAAGGAACAACAACTAGAAGTCACTATTCATTCAAATAGAAGTCATCATTTCTTTTTTCAAAATAAAGAAAAATAAAAGTGTGGGACCAATAATACATGAAGACAAACAAAGCAGTCCACTATTTTAAAGGAAAGGTTACTAATTTTTTCCTTTTGCAAAGAAGTGGAAGAAGAAGTTGTTAACACCCTATCTACATTTAAATCGGTAGAACATAGCTTATAGAGAAAATTATAACGACTCACCTGACGAATTTCCTCGGGAAAACAACACATGTGATTCGTCCTATGGTTAGAAATAGAATGACAGCGGCTCCTACGCGAACGGCGTCATTTCCCATCGAAATTATGTCAGCGCTGAAACGCATGATTAAATCCGACCAAAGAAAAGAAGTCTAGAAAAAGTTTGCGTCATCCCTCAAGGATGATTTGATTAACACAAATTTAATGTTTACATTATTTGAAACGAAAATAAGTTACACAGGATTACATAAATTAAAAAAAAATTATAGATTCTTTGAATCGTTACAATTTGACTTGGCATTTTCATCCAAATAAGGGGAAAAATAAAATTGCATGTTTATTATTGTATGGTCATTGCTGAACAGGATTCTCTTAATATGCAATGAAAAAATATAACGTGAAGCATCAAAATAGATGCTGCAAATAAATGGAATTGAGCAGGACATTTAGAATTGGGGAAAATAGCATAGTCTAAAAAGAAAGGCGCAAAATCAGATACGGCAAACTCAAACAATTACACTATAGGAATGAGGTTTCCTGCATTATCTCATTTTTATTGTGTAGTCGGATTTCCGCAGCATAAGACATCATTGGCCCAACAACTGTTTTATTTTGTTTTGTTAAACTGTTTTTATTAACTAATTCTGTTTGTATCATCGTACCTAGACGTATAGCTGCTTTTTGATTTGGATTTTTCAGTTTCGGATAGTTCCTCGCGAGGATTATTAGCACTTCCTGAACATCAAAGATTGGAGGCCATGGTGTTTACCTTCGCCATGACTGTTTTTTTTATAGGGAAAATAGTACATTAGTCTCCTCTCTTGCTTTCTATACTGCTTTAAAAACTCTGGTTTTATGGTTATTAATATTGCGTCGCTTGTTGTCCATTTCACAACCATTCTGATCCATTTGATCTCTGCTTATGTTTGGTTATGGTAATCCAATTACCGATTTCTATTGATAATTTTTTTTTATATCCAGAGTATTTTATTTCCTCGGTATCGCCCATACAGTGTAGGTAAAAGTTTATGGTCGGTAAGGACCTACGTGAGATGGAGTGAGAAACACCTGTTTAAAAAGAGAGAGGTATATTAGGTCCGCCCTTTAAATCGTCGAAAATGCATTAGTGGAAATAATAAAGTCAACAGAAGAGGGGAAGTTCAACGTTGCCAAACTTATTGGTTTTATTTGATCTGTTGTCTTTTTAGCATTTTAACAATGTTCCAAGATAATCAAATTTGGGCGAATTGATTTAAATGGCAGCTTACTGTTTTTTATTGGAAATATGTCACAATTTTCATTTACAATAAGTTTAATTTAACATTTTGATTTCCACTTCGGAAATCGTTTTATATAAATAAAATTTATTAATGTTTCGTATTTGAAGTACGATTTCCGAATTGGAAATCTAAACATCAAAGTAAGCTTATTTTAAAGTCACATTGTCCCTTATTCCCAATAAAAATAATAAACTGCATTATGACGCCACAATAAAAAAGCTTCATACAAATTATTTGGCAACGTCGAGTCGTCAAAGTATGGACACTGTACTAACGAGAAAAACAGTAGAGGTGAGTCGTTGACGTTTTTATCGTTAACGAAACTGAACCGTTGTTCGTAAACAAGTAACTAGTTGAAAAACTAATTCAATTATTCAACTAGTTGATTGTTTAACAGTAGTTTCAAATAAGCGAGTACATAAACAAACATGCTTTCTTGAATCAAAGAAAAAAATACTGAAACACTTTAAATGGCTTTTCAAATTTGCTGTAGTTGATTTATAACTAAGTTTTTCTTTGCAAATATTGCATACAGCCTTCTCACTGTTAATGTCTTTCATCTGCCGTTGAGTTCAGTTCCTCTAAGTTGGTGGCTTGCTCGAACTCATGCCTGTATAATTTCGTTTTTAGCATCCCCCAAAAATAAACATCTAGAGGAGCTAAGTCGGGTGACCGAAGGGGCCATTTTATTGTACCGTCTGTACTAATGACACGTTCATCAAAAATTAACGCTAAATAGTTTCTAACGGCTTTTGCATTATGTGCAGGATAGCCGTCTTGTTGAAACCAAATTTCGTTGAAGTTAATTTGAAGACGTTGAAGTGCAGGAATAATTTGATTTTGCAATAATTGGAGATATTTGACTGCGTTGAAATTGCCTTTAATGAAAAAATTACCAATAATATGGTCTCCCAAAATTCCAGTCCAAACATTTAGTTTTTGTGAATACTGCGTACGCTCAGACACACTCAAATGCTTATTCTCCTGAGACCAATAATTTACAACGGATGGATTATGTTTCTTGTGAATTGTGAAGGAAGACTCATCTGTAAATAAAATATTTTTTAAGAAATTATTATTTGCATGGTATCTCTCCATCATAATTTCACAAAATCGCATTCGTTTAAATGGATCATCAGGATATATTTCTTGAGTTGTCTGCACTTTATTACAATGGTAGTTGTTTCTTTTCAAAATATTCCTCACTGTTTTTGCATTTAAATCAGCTTCATCGGCAATTTGTTTACTTGAAAACGGCGTCGCTTCAGCCAATGCACAAACTTGAATTTCTCGTTCTTGAGAAATTTTCTTTTCGTGAGGTTGATCTCGTGGGCAGCATTTTTTACATCTGCCATTAGTACAGCCAGACTTTTCAAATTGATGAATAATGGCCAATACAGCTTTTTCTATAAGTATTGGCCTATTTAAAAAGCCATAATAAATTAATTGATGGTGTCTTGTACTGAATTGCCCCAAAGTACTATTTTATTATTTGTACCCGTTCTTCTGTTATATAAACAGTCGGTATATTTAATTATTATTTTCACACTACAAAGTTACCTCCAAAAAGAAATACATAGAAAGAAATAGGGTTTTCCTGTCTCGTATGCATTTTACCATTCAAGAGTAGGGACGAATGACGATGTTGCCAAAATGATCCTGTTTTATTCAAATTTGGGTTACAATTTCGTCAAATAAAAATGCGAATCTGTAAATTTTTCACGGATTTAAGATATGTTGTACCAGTATTTGTGTCAATTAATGTTTCATTTTTAATATTATCATCCAGTTTTGAATGCCAATATAACCGCGCTACTGATCGCCAATTTTTTAAATAAATTCAATGTTTTAATTTGGTTTTAATTTAAATATGTAATAAGGCAACTCTGCCGCCGTTTCTTTCTTATAAGCTGGATCGGAGATAATCGTCTGGCGTTCACAATGGGCGTGAATAAAGAATGTGGAGGGGAGACCAAGGGAAATATGATTGTTTTCATTGTCTATTCGCTGAAAATATGATTTTATATCTGTGTTAGATATCCTGTTAAATTCTACTATACCGACCATAAATTTTTACCTACACCCTATATTTCCGTATCCGCACCTGGATAGGAGTAATATTTACATAAAGATACAAGTAAAAAATAAATGGAAGAGAACAAAAATTCAATGTTGCTTCAAGATCTAATTACACAAAGTTTTTTATTGCACATATGGATTAGTTAGTGTCACAATATTTTATTATATCGTAGGCCACACCTCTTTTTTTGTAAAATATATTTTTTTATTGTTTCAGAGTTCAAGCATCAGCTATTTGCCAAGCTCTTTTAGAAGGCGGGTATATCGAGAGTTTATCAGAACCAATGGTATTTATTGATGGCTATGCTTTTTACCATAAAAAATTATTTTCTTATCCAGAGCTTCCACCGTCGGGTTTAAACTTTGATGTACCTTATCACGACGAGCCGCAATGGGTTCAGCAAATTCCTCACGAGTCAAGCACAACAGGTTTGTTAGGTTATTTGTAAACAACTCCTTATATAAAATATTAATTTTAATTTATATAATTGTTTCTCGGGAACTGCTCAAGTATAAGAAATACAGTCGTTCTTTAATATACAATACTTTATTAATGTCCTATTACAAATTATTTGCAAAATTATCGCCACATTTTTTTAAAATGTCACTTCTTTCAAACATGAGTATAAACTGGCTCTAAGTAACTTCCACTAACTTCTTAATGATAGGAAAGCTAACCTTATATACTTTTATGTGATTTGTAGAATTTACTTCATTTTCCTTCATATTTTTTTCCATGTTTTCGCCCCATATGTGACGACCGGCCTCAACAGTGTTTTGTATATAATAATTTTAGTTTTTCTTTGGATATTTCTTGAATGGAATTGTTTTTGGAGTCCATATTATACCCGATTTGTAAGTTTTATTCGTCTTAATGATTCTAAATGACATTACTTGTTATTGCAGATTCTGAAAACGAGCAGTTATCGCCAGTTGAAATGAGGCCAGGAAATATGACTTCATCGTCATCATATACGTTAGATCTTAATTTGGAGGCAAATACAGTGTATCTGTCTCGCCCACCTGATGAGTACAAGAGTCAGAATACAAGCGAAACACAAGAGCCACAAGAAAAAACAGAAACGGTGGTTGTTAGACCTTCGGATCAAATTGAAGCTGCCCCAGAATCAGGTAAATATTAATAATATTTAATATATTTTTTACGTAAATATTCAGATGCCCGAGTATACTTGTTGTTTCTTATACATATGTATGTATATACTGTACATACTTACTCCGTGGCGTTACAACCCTTCGTGGGTTTTAGCCGACTCGACAACATGCCTCCACTGTTTTCTGTCTTGAGCAACCTCCATCCAATTCTCCACGCCCATAGTGCTTAGGTCTCCTGCTATATTATCTCGCCACCGGAGACGAGGACGTCCGCGTGGTCTCCTTCCAGTTGGGACTTCCTCCCACACCAGTCTTACTGTTCGTTCGTCAGAATGTCTTCTGAGGTGTCCTACCCATTGGAGTCTTCTGGACTTTATTTCTTTTATGATGTTGGCGTCTGGGTAAAGTTCTTCAAGCTCTTTATTAGTTCTTATCCTATATTGTCCTGATGCTTCATCAAGCACCGGACCAAAGATCTTCCTTAGGATTTTTCTTTCCCAAACACGTAGTCTCTCTTCGTTTGCATTTGTTATCGTCCACGTTTCGCTTCCATACATTACAACGGGTCGTATGATTGTTTTATAGACCTGTATCTTCGTACGTCGTGTTAGTTGTTTTGATTTTATAAGGTTTTGGAGGGCAAAAATACATCTGTTGCCGGCCTGAATCCTGTTGTTTATTTCTTGTGATCCGTTATTGTCTTCAGTTATTGTTGTTCCAAGATACTTGAATTCTCTAACGCGCTCAAAGTTAAAGTCATCGATGGTAATGTTCTGACCGATTCTGTCTCTGCTTTGGTTATTGCGGCTCATATACATATATTTCGTCTTGTTTTCGTTGATTTGGAGCCCCATCTTCTCTGCTTCCTTCTCAAACCTTACGAAAGTCTCCTTCATCCTTAATCGCGTGTTTCCTATTAGATCTATATCGTCTACAAATGCCAGTAGTAAGTTTGGTCCTTCTCGATGAAATACTGTATTCGGTTTTTCGATTCTTGCACTTCTGATTATGTGCTCCAGAGCTAAGTTGAAGAGTTGTGGTGAAAGTGCATCTCCCTGTTTTAGTCCATTGTTTATTTCAAATGTCTCCGAGTATTGTTGTCAAACTCTCACCTTACATCGTAACCGTTCCATACACATCCGTATCAACCGGACTAGTTTTTTTGGAAAGCCAAGTTCCTGCATCGCTGTCCACAGTCTGTCCCTACATACTCTATCAAATGCTTGTTTAAAATCTATGAACATCTGATGAAGCTCACGATCAACCTCCCAGCATTTTTCCATTATCTGTTTTATTGTGAATATCTGGTCAATTGTAGAGCGGCCCGGTCTAAATCCGCATTGATAATCTCCAACGATTTCTTCTGTGTATGTTTTGGTTCTTTCTAGCAGGATGTTTGCAAGGATTTTGTAGGTGGTGTTTAGGAGTGTTATTCCCCTGTGGTTAATACATTGCTTTTTGTTTCCTTTTTTGTGTATTGGTACAATAACCCGTTCTTTCCATTCATCTGGCATTATTTCTTCTTGCCAAATGTCTTGAATTAGCTTGTGTATCGAACTGTACAACGCTTCTCCTCCATGTTTTAAGCACTCTGCGGGTATACCATCGCTACCTGGTGTCTTATTATTTTTGAGTTTTTGAATTGCCTGTATTACTTCTTCGTATGTCGGGTATTGGTCTTCTATTTCAGCTGTATGTACCTCTATGTTTGATGTACTTCTGCTAGATTGGTCATTCAATAGTTGATAGAAGTATTCCTTCCAGGTTTTTAAGATTTCCTTGTCATCAGTTATAAGCTGTCCACTGTCGTTTTGAAGAAAGTTTCCTGTTCTTGCTTGGTACCCGGTCTTGATATCTGAAACTCCTTTAAAGAACTGCCTCGCTTGTTTGTTCTTTCTTTTTTTCTTCTGTATCTCTGATTATTTGTTCCTGATACTCTCTCTTCTTCCTTTTCATTAGTTTTCTTGTCTCTGTTCTTCTTTGTCTATACATTTCATTGTTGTTGTGCGAGGGGTTTTGTAGCATGTTCCTTCTAGCCATATTTCTTGCTAATATGGAGTTCAGGCAATCATCATCGAACCATTTTTTTGTTGTTTTCTTTTTGTGTCCTAGTATTTCATCTGATACGCTTGTCAGAGCTACTTTGATATTTTTCCAAGCTGAGTCTATGTTGTTATAGTCTTCTGTCTGTGCTAGAGCGATTTTTATAGCCTTTTTAAATTTCTGTTCTATCTCCTTATTACGTAGAACTTCGGTATTCCATAATTGTGTTGGTGTATTCTTGTGTGTTTTTTTGGACGCTATTCTTGTCCTTATCTTCGCTTTTACAAGAAAATGATCCGTATATACTGTGCGTCATTAAAAAAGCAACCTAAAATTTTTGACATTTTTTAAATTTTAAAGCATTCTGCAAGAAATTGATTATCATTAGATGTTTTTTAATGCTTAAGAACATGTTCTTAAGCAGTATGCAACCATTTCTTAAATAACAAATGTCAAAAAAATGTTCTCCCAAAATGATGATTTTAATGGAAAATTTTTAATATTAAAATTGTAAATTTTTTCTGCATTCATTATAAAAATTACAATAAAATCGTAATTTTTAATATTATGTATTACCACCTCTATTTTGAATTACACTCCTCATTCGACTTGGCATTGAATTGATCAAATCCTGGATGTTGCCTTGAAGAAAAGCTTCCCATTCTTCCATGACAGCCAATCGAAGCTGCTCACGATTTATTGGAGCAGGTATTCTGTTTCTTACTCTTCGTTTGAGTTGGTCCCAAACATGCTCAATCAGGTTCAAATCTGAGCTTTGAGCCGGCCAATTCATTTTTGGCACACCGACGATATCCAAGTATTGCGTTACCATCCTGGCTACTCGTTAATGTATCGCTGAGCATTCAACGCTCCTCTATTAATAAACACGAGATCAGTACGGCCTTTGAATGAAATGCCTACCAAAAATTACAAAGCCTCATCCAAAAGCAACACGTGCTCGTCGAGCACAAGCAGCATATCATTCCCCACGTCTTGTGTAGGTTTTGATGCTACCGTCTGAGCCATAAAGAACCATCCTGAACTCATCTCTAAACAAAACATTTTTTCAATCTTCTATCGTCCAATACTCGTTCTCTAGCAAACTCAAGTCGGCCTTGTCAATGTGCTACTGTTAATAAAAATCCTCTTTCTGGGCAACGAGCTCTTAGACCAAATTCCCTCAACCTTTTTCTCACTGTAAAAGTGCTTAAAGTCCACCCATGAACATTTTGAAAACAGTTTTGAATTGCTCTAGCCGTAAAGAAGCGATTTTGCAAAGAAGTGCGTTGTAAAGAACGGTCTTCTCTGGCCGTCGTGATTCTTCTCGCGCCTGATCATGGTCGTCTTTCGGAAGATCCAGTCTCTACGAATCGTTGGTGTGTTTTTTGAATTATACAACGACTGACTTCGTGCTGTCTGGCCATTTATCTTGGACTCATTCCATTATCAATCAAAGTAACAATTTGAACAGATCTAGCAAATCTATCAGCCATAGTTTTAAATTTAAAATTGCATAAGTTCACTCTTTGAACAACTGTACACTAATGAAAGATTGTTGAAAAACAGAACAGTCATTTTCCAAGAAAAAGAACGTATAAACAACACGTACATTCTCCGAAGGCGTAAAACTGATATCAATTTTGCGAACTTATTACCCTTAATTGACCTGTCGGCACGAAGTGGCGGTGTCTAAAAGTGTTACTGCAATGTGAGAGTTTATTTACAAAAGAATAAATTGCATAAACTTAAAATTATTGAAAAATTCTTATAAAATTCTAGGTTGCCCCTTTTTAATGACGCGTAGGATATATAGGTAAGGAAAAAATATTGGCAAAACTCTAAATGATAAAATACCTTTGAAAATTTTCATACAAATAAACAGATACCTTAGAAATAAATGTTTCTATAAATTATATAGTTTTTACACATAAAATGAACACAAGAAAATCGTACAAGTTTAGTTCAATTAAGCTCATATGTCTCGTCTCAAAATTTTGCCTCTACTTTACTAAAACGATTAACTTTGATTAAATTTTATTAGCTTTCTAGCGAAAACTCCTTCCCTGGTTGTGTTTATAAAACAGGACTGTCGATCAAAAACGTTCTAACAACTGTTTCTATCTCCCTTTGGCTGCCAAACTCTCCTTAGCTATGAATCTCCCGAGGAATAGTATTTTTTTTTACTTACAAATTCTGCAAACTTTTTATACTGTCAATTTTCCAACTCAGCATTCAAATAGTAGCACTGTTCTCACTTTCATTTAAATTATTTCTCACAATTCAAAATTTTCTTTTATAGTTAAAAAAAAACAGGTGTGGCAGTCCAGTGGGACTGCCGGTAGAAATTATACTTCTATACACTCGTTCACCGTTACAAATTTATATGGGAGTCAATCTGCACAATCATTGCATATGTAATGCTATAGGTAAGAGCAAGCAGAAAGTGAAAAATAATTAGGTATATAGGTATATGGTGCATCGTTTGCTGTATATAAACATTTGACCTATAGTAGGAGTACAGTACATGAAGGATTGTATCAATATTTTAATGAAAATATATATTTTATTTTCATATAATATGTATAAAAGGAGTTGAATGCAAAAAAAAATTTGACACATACTCTGCAGTAAAATTCATTGTTTATTTTGTAATTAATATAAAAGTTACAATACCTTACACTGCAACATAATTCAATATCATAATACAATACAAATTAAAATGCAATATTCATAAGTATTTAAAACTGCCAATATACATAACTTACTTTACGAAGATAAAAATAAAAAAACCAACAACTCGGATTATGTCGTAAATTTTCATTTTATTTTAAAATTTAGCATTTTTGCGTATATTACATATATTTAATAAGATTAACGTGAGGTTTTTAAATATTTCAAAAATAAAAAAAGAAATTCATATTGGGATTCTAACTCACATACACCAGCGTATGAACCAAACACGTAAAAAATTTGCC